GATTAACTCAATATTCTTATGTGCCGAAGCGAAAACTTCAAATTTTCATAGAATTACAGCCTACCTTTCATAAAAAGAATGGGCTACACAAGTCTTGTAAAAAAGTACTTTAAAACGTATAAATTACGACTTTAATGAATTGTGTAATGTGTTACTATTTTTAGGTACATTTCCCCCTGTTATGCTAATGAGCTTATTCAATAATAGAATTTTATTAAAATTCTTTTAAAAAATCATTGTAACTTTGAATTTCTAGAAGTATAGCAAAACATTTATTATTATTTTCTTGATTTTGCTAATATTTATTCACAAACAGAAAAATTACTTTCTATTTTATTTACATTTCCTTTATATAATGCTATTGTAGAATGAATTTTTTCTCAACAAAATTTAATTAAAACTAAACTTCATAATCATATAAAAACTTCAACACTTAATTATCTTTTGCTTATTTCTTTTAATAGTTCTAATTTAGATGATTTTAATTTTAATCTAGCTTATGAAGAATGGTGTAAATTAGATTATAGAATTTTTATTTAAAAGTTTATATTTGAGAACAATTTTTATAGTTTAAGAATATTATTTTAAAAAAAATGTTTTTATTGAGAACATTATTAAATTTTATGTTTATTTGAGAATATAAATTAAAGTTTAAATTTTGTACACTGATTACAAGTACTTGCAAATAAAAGAAAAATAAAAGAATTAGTATAAATATTAGAAGAAAAATAATTACAAAAGAAATAAAAGAGATACAAATCTGAGTGATAAAGTTTAGAATATGCAATTTCTTAGACCTGTGGATAAAGGTACTAAGAAATATTTGAAAGAGATCAAAAACTTAATAAAAGTATCAAAGATAATGAAAATTGTTGCAATGAAAAAAGAGAATAAAGAAATAAATATTATTTATATAATGAATCAAGAAGAAATGAATCAGAAGAAAAAATAAAAGCAAAAAATGTACCTAATTCAAATAGAGATCATACTTTTAACTATAAAAATAAGACTATTGCTAGAACTGCTAATAGTGGTGAGGCTAGAGATGAAATTGAAAAATATAAAAACAAGGTATTTGATTTTTATTAAAAATTTGCTGATATATATTATATTAATACCATACATAATATTGGATACTGTTGTTGAAATGATACTGGGAATAAAAAAGCATAAATACAAAAAGTTTATTTATTATTAAAAATTAACAAATAATGATTATGTTAGAAAAATATTTGCTCCCAAGTGTTGTTGTTAATAAGAACTTGAAGTTAAGAAGGCAGAAATTAAACTATTGATTTACTACCAAAATTCTCCCAATATAGATAATACTAATAAAACAAATAATGTTAGGTATTGTTATTAAGATGAAGTGATAGTAATGTTAGATGCATCATTGGACATAATAATGAAAATAGATACTATGATAAAAATTTGCTAGAATTATTAACAAAAACTAAGTCTAATAATGACAAAGTGGTAAAAAGGAAAATAAGATCAAGAAAGTCAAATTTAATCAAGTATCTGATAATAAAAATATTGAAAAGGATGAATTCAAACCATTTATTTATTATTAGGAATCTGCTAACATGAGTAATACTAAAGAAGTATCTATTGTTAAATATTGTTATTAAAAAGCAATTGATACTGAAAAGAATAAGTATAAGATTTCAATTTGTTATCAAAAGTGTGTTGATGAAAGACATGCTAATAGAATAAGTGGTTTTGGTAATTGCTACCACAATGATATAAGGATTAGTAATGCCACAAAATTAATTTTCAAAAAAGAACTATTTTATCTCTATTAGAGCAAATTAAAATTTTTCTAAGAGCAAATAAAATTTATATATTTATACTTCTTATAATTTTGTCTATTCAAAAAAGTGTCAAAAAATTTCATCTTTTAAATAAAATAGGTCAAAAACAATTTCAGTTTCAAATTTTAATTTCAGGTTTTAGAACTCGAAATAATTTCATCAACATGTATAGTAAGGATTAAAAAGAGTAAACAAAAGAGATTTATTTGCTATAATCAGATCTTCCTAAATACAACCTTCCTAAATGCATAACTATATAAAATTTCTCTAAATATATATCTTTTTTTTGGCCCAACTTAATATAACACTTATAGATTTTTACTTTTCTAAATGCATAATCTCTCTAAATGCATGGTTTTAAAAATTTTACTATGATCCTGATGCTATGTATTTAGAGAGTGTTGACTATATCAACATAGAACTAGTGTTGAAAAAACAAAAATGTGACATTTAAGCAGTATCTAATTACTGCTAAATATAGAGATTCGAATAGAAGAGATAATTTTAAATCTAGTGAAGATGTGGATATAGCTAAAGATAAAAGGATGATGTTGAAGTAGTATTTAAAAGGCAATAAAAGTGATACAGAAAATGCTAGTAGAATAAACTATGCTAAATGTTCTAAAAAGAAAATTGATGATAGATCAGTAAATATTGAAAACAAAATCATAGATTGTGTATCCAAAGATGATACCAATATTAATATTGATTCAATTAGTTTGTGTGATAAGCATGTATATAAGAATGTAGATGATAAAAGTAAAACCTTAAATAATAAATAGATAAAAGTGCGCCATGTACATGTTGATGAAAAGAAAAACATTAGTTGTCAAAAACATAGTATAAAAATTTCAAATCAAATAAAGAAGAGAGTTTGCAATAATAATATTGTAATTGGTAAAAATAAATAAACAATTAGCAAAAGCAATAATTAGAACCAGTTCATATTCAAATCTAATAAGCATGAGATATGCAAAGGAAAAGGACTTACCTGGAAATATATGAATAAGAAAATCAGTAATAAAGTTGTTGGAAATATTTCTGGCATTGAAATTGACCTTGATGGTATAAAGTGGTTCAAGAATTTTGTGTAAAGCATGAATTAGCTTCTGATATAGTTCTTGGAATGCTGTGGGTTATGAAAACTAGGTACAGTTTTGAATAGAAGAACAGAAAATGTTGTTGCATAATCAGATCTGGATATAATAAAATAACATTTATAATTTTAGAAGATTTTACAATTGATGATAAGAAAATAAAAATTTTGTGATTAATAAAGGGAAAAATGATTGAAAAGAAGATGAATTTGTTAATATAAGATGTATTAAATGCGAATTGACAGAGAATGATAATATTGATAAAGAGAAAAAGAAATGTTGTAATGAAAAGGACAATGATAAAGAGGTGAAGCTGCAGATGGTAGAGCGAATGAATCTGAAAATTATTATGAAAGTAAAATTGAAAATGAAAAAGATAAACAAAAGACATTTATTTGTTCAATATCAAAGCCTTGGAAAAATGGGTTGTGGCAATAAAGCACATAATTACAAGTATGATGATAAGAATAAATGGTGTGTTGAATTTGGAGGTGCATCTATGAGTCATCCAATACCATATGAACATTAAATAATATGTTGAAGGCTTGGAATTATGTAAATAATCCAATAAGGTTATATGATTTGAATTATTGAAGATGCAATGATGCGCATTTAAAGTTTAGGAGTTCAATTAAAGGTGAATTACAAAATGCATATATTTGGAACCGATATAAAAACACAAGCGTTAGAATGCTGTGTACTCCAAAGCTTTATGGAGATAAAGACCTTAAGAAAGATGTTAATCAAATTAAATGGGACATTGCAAGCTGTGGCAAAGTGAAGGGGCAAAAATGGGTAAAATTGATAGATCAACGAAGTTTAGTGAAGGAAATTAATTTCTATAAACGATTGTACTAGAATCAGATTGTTGGGTGTAGTTCAGAGGAATTGATTAGTGTAGTATTTGGAAATCGCATTAAGATAAGGAAGCTTGGAGGATTGATGTTAAGATATTGTGACTTCGGGGACAAAGTTACTGGGGTTCTAGCTCGTGTCGCAGTAGTGATCGGGTACATGTTGATCGAATATCGTGATCGGGGTTTGCATAAATGGCGTGATCACGATTTAATTAAAAGGTCTAAAATGGTGATTAGAAGCGATTAGTTATTGCATGAATAATGTAGTAATCAGAAGCGATCAGTACTGCATAAACAATGTAATAATCGGAAGTGATTGGTATTAATAAATAAGGCATCGATCCAAATAGGGGAAATGCCAGAACTTAGATTCTTAGTGAATAAACTTTGAGTTCTTTGAATTGTTCTTAGTGAATAAACTGTGTTATCTTAGTGATCATATTGTATTGGTGGTAGTATCTAGTACGATACCCCAGTCATCGTTTAATAGCCAAGCGAGTGAAGATTGATAGTAAAGACCCACGAGTACACGGTAACTCCGTGACAGTACATTATTTTAGGCTTTTTTTAGAATTGGACTAGGATTTAGGGTTAGGGTATATAATAAAAGCGTATAGGTGGGTTTTAGTAGGGTTTATATTTTATCAAGGCCCCAGATATCACGATCATTCCACGACATTCTATATTATTAATTCTTATTCATCACATGATGATTGGTCACAACCTAGGTCAAATATTTGAATTGAAATATCGATCATGTAATCGTACGTCTAAGTATGCTTTCCTTTTTTTTTTAATAACCGACGTACCAACTTATACTACAGTACTGTACTAATTTACTATGTGTTTAAAATAGAAAATTACATGAAAAACCGAAGCTTCACCTAGAGTAACGTAAAGTTACGCAAAATTACAGTAATTTTACATCCCTAATTTAAGCAATACTTAAAGCGGAGTAATTTATCTCATCCAATCAGAACTAGTGGGAATTAGAACTATGATGGGTGATCAAACTATAGGTAACTGGTAAAAAAATAAAATTTATTATCTGTCAGTTTAGGCAATACAAACTTAATAAATTTGTTCTCATAATCCGGTTCGGTCAAATTCGCAAATTTGAAATTTTTTTTTGCTATATTTACAGTGCATTTTTTTAGATTTCTACTGTGTAAAAAAAATTATATATATTTTTTATATATATATTTTTAAAAATAATTAAATAACTGGGCCGCCAAGTCAATTTTAAAATTTTATGTTGAGAACCAAAAAATTAACTTTCATAGCCTTGCTAAGATCAGACTGCTAAATAACTATATATTATTAAAAGAAAAAATAGCAAATTTATTACGCGACGTTCTTAATAAAGTAAATCAAAATTTAATATTGTTAATAAGAAAGTATGGGTTTTAATAGTAGCAGCATTAAAAAATTTATAAGATCGGTCACAAATAATTAGATCAAAAACATAATTTCCATATCAACTTAGTAATAAGAATTAAGTAATGAATATTACGTTTAAATAAAATTTTATTTTATTTTTTTAAAGACAGAGTGCGTTATTTATCATTATTTATCATCTTTAACATTACCAAACCTACCATACAAATATGGAATAAGTCCCCCTAAAAGAACAGCAGACCAAGAGATAACATATGGTATGTAGTATAGACTTATATCTTCACTAATTGGAAGAGGAAAGAATGTCACAATTGCAATTAATATTATTAATAATAAAAATGAACAACTCAACATAACTGCCTTTGAGAAAGAAATGATTGTTGGAAATCTTTTTTGCAAAATCTAGTACAAAGTAATAAGAGCTATATTAATGCCTGTTAAATATTATTAAATATTGTCATTTTGTTATAACATACCATCAAGCTAATTGCACTAATACCGTGATATAATATAGTTAGGTATAGAGACGTGGTTACCATAAACAAAAAAATATTCCAGTATGTTGGAAAGAAAGTAGTTAAAATTGTACAATAAACCAATTGAAATACTAGCGCATTTATTGGTGTGTTTAATTTCTGGTGAAATCCGGAGAGTTTTAGACTATTAGGGAAAGTGATTAACCCATTTCTTGCGGCATAAGCTATAATCCGAGAACCACTATTGAAAATTTAATGTAATAAAAAAATAGTTTAAGATAAAAAATTACCATTAAATTTTGCATGACAATTAGTAATATTACCTGTAAATCATTGCTGCAACAGCTCCAAAGGAAGAAATAGCAATAAATACTGAGATAAGCTTTTTGCCAGTTTCGCCAAGTAAGGCTTTGCCAAAGTTTATAGCAATAATTTCATCTTTTATTACGGCATCTTCAGGATTTACTACCGTTATATAGGCAACATTAGCTAAGATATCTAATCAAAAAATATGCAATAGTTTTATAAATAGACTATAGAATTTTATTTTAAATAAAATCAAAATATAAACATACAAAGTGGAATAGTGATAAAGATACTATAAATGTTTGAAGATTTCGCAATATCAGGCTCGATTAACTCATCGGTAAGATCTGTAAAAAATTAATTAGTAACAAGATATTTTAAAATAAAATATCAGCACTAAAAAGCAAAATTGTTTACAGTTCACATTGTTCCACCCTTTAATAAATAAGTCATGACAAAAAATTAACAACAAATATTTAGTTAAACAGAAAGATATTTATGAAATTTGATTACAGTTACATACCTTCATATGCAAACAAAACCTTTGATTAAGTATAATATACAAATATAAAAAGCTGTTAATATGAGCAAAGTTCTTTCATTTTATATCTGATACAGTTCACAAACCTGCAACATAGCATCTCCGTAACTTCCAACTTGTTCTAAAGGAGTTCTTTGATCATTTATTGTATTTTTAAATATATTTGCCCAGTGATTTTTGTAATTGACATTTTGAAGTTGTATTAAGCCAACAATTATAATAGCAGAAAGCGCTAAAATTTTGAATGCAGCAATTATTTGATTTATACGAGCAGCTAGTCCGCTAGAATACATGTGATATATTGAAATAATTAACAAAACAGCGATTGATATACTGCGGATTATACTAAAGATATTAAATTCAAAATTTGTTAATATTAAAAAAAATCCAATATTACAAGTAATAAATGATTACTCACAGAAAATCATTGCTGAAATATCCTGTTGGGTCTAAATATTCTCCGCTTTCACCTCGAATTGTATAAAGAACATATTGAGAGGCGACATAGGCATCAGCAACAATCCATGTAGGCCTTATTACGCTTTTAAAATAATATTTTGCATAAGTTGCCCAATATATTATATTTAACATGCACTACATACGTACAATATAATAGCATGGCTGAATGCCAATGCAATAATTTTTCTAGGCTTTTGAAAAGCTTCATCAAGATATCTTAGCTCTCCCGCTCCTTTAGGCAACATTTCACTTAACTGTAAAATTAATGTTATCATAAAAAATCACAACTACATAATACAATTTAATTTTCTAGTATACTGTTACCTTAGCATAAACCACACTACCAAGAATGCTAAAAAAGCCTCCAATAATAAAAAATACTACAGTAATTCCCGGAGATTTAGTCAGTCGCCACACGTTACCAGGTATCAAAAAAATTCCTATTTTATAGTGTTAACATAATGATGGGCTCTTACTATGTAAAGTAATTATAAAGACTGACAAGCTAAAAAATTTTTTTACCACTTCCAATTATTTGATTTATATTATATGCAACAGCTTCTGTTGTTCCCAAAATTTTATTAGGACCTTTATTATCTTCATCTTCTGTATTCACTATAATTTCAAAATTTTTATTATTTTTATCTTCCATATTTTTCTTATATTTTTTTCCACATTTAAATATATGCAAATACGATAATTTTTTAGTAAGACTGTAAGAGTCGAATACTGAACACAAATAATTTAATGTTTGTCAAAATATGTTACTGCCACACTATGCTCATTATTTAATTACCTAATTGGATTTATCTGTAAAATATGCATCAGATATAATTGTATTACAAACACACAAAATCCCTTTTATATTAATTCTCTAAAATACGTACCGTAAATGGCCGGATACAAGATCCCCTAGATAGCAGACCTACTATGTACTCGGGTGAAAGTCACAGGATCTTCTTTAATTAAATGGGATTCTTTTAAAAGATCTAGGATGTCTGTTATAAGCGCAAATTGTATATGCATTTCAAATTTTTACATTATATGATATAAACCCTCAGCTGTGTACTATACCCGGGTCTATTAACGGGTTTTAAAACTGGTGAAATGTAACAGACCAGGGTCTTGTGTCCGGCCATTTATAGTACGTATGTACATGTAGAAACAGAAGTACAGTATTAGATCTCCTGTAAAATTTCTGTAATGATAAAATAGGTTTGTTCTTACACATGTACGTACGTACGTACAATGGTACTACTTAATTTGAGGGATGGCTAAAGCCCGGTACGTTTATATGTTTTTGATTATTTAATTAAAATTAGGGTAAGGGTTAATTAGAAGTTAAGGTTGGAGCAGTTCTTATAGGTAAAATTGTCCTCCTGGCATTTTTTATTAGTGCTTCAAGACAGGTTAGACACTCGTTTCTTGTATTTTAGGCGTTCTTCACTTTTTTTCTTTGGTTTTGTCTCGTCGGGTTAATCAAAATCTATATTTTGATTGGCATATAGTCACGTGAACGCACCTGGCGAGCCAGTACATCACATCGAAGTTTGACAATAAAAAAATTAAACTTTTTAAACTTTTGAACGAAAATATCTCGACGACCACTTGACAAATTCTATAAAAAGAAACTTTGGATCTTATTTAGTATAGGTGGGCAATTAAAATTATAAAATTATAATATATAAAACTAACTATTTTGACCTAATTTAAACTCTAACTCTCACTCTAACTCTGTTTATAATTTGCTTAAATTAGTATAAAATAATATATTATAGTTTTATATTAATTCTATATGCTCATCTATACTAAAGATCAACTTTTTAGTCCAAAGCTTTAGAAAAAATTTAAATATCCATCAAAATAAAGCCGTGCCAAAAGTTTTCTAACGCTTTATATCTCAACAAGCACCAGATTTTGGCTAACGAATTTAAATTCTATTCATAAAATATATAAGGTGGAGGGAGGTATTCTGGCGGAGTTAAAATTAATCAAAATTCGCTTATAGTAAAACTTTATTAAAATCTTATTAATTGCAATTTTAATTTCGCAAAACCATAATTCTCTATCTAACTGATTCTAAAATTAAAAAAAAAAAACAAGTTAACTTGAATTTGCACAATTTTTATTAGTGCGAAGTAGCTTTAACGGTGAAGAGGGTAAAGTGGCGGATCGACAGATCAACGTGCATGAATAAAATAACCAATTAGAATCTAAAAATTCGAACGTAGGCTATTAAGTATTTATCATCTTTAATCTTTTTTTTTAGCTATTTGTTTTTTTTTGCTTTGCAGCCTCCTTTATACGAAGAGCTTCTTCTTTTTTCTGTTTTGTGGCCTCCTTTTTGCGAAGAGCTTCTTCCTTCTTCTGTTTTGTGACCTCCTTTTTATGAAGAGCTTCTTCTTTTTTTTGCTTTGCAGATTCTACTTTCTTTTTTGCTAATTCGTCGGCTTCTTTTAATTTTTCCAATGATTCTTCATTAGTAAGAAGCTGAGCAAATGGTAAAGTTTTTCTTTTCTTTTGTGGTTGAGTAGAAGTGTCTTCAGCCACTGGATCAGTGCTTTGTGGAAGCTGAATAGGATATTTGAACACAAGCTTAAGTGGGCAGGTACCAGGATTCTTAAAAGTTTCAAGCTCTTCTTGCATTAATAAATAATTTTTTTTTAATGATGCACCTTTGAGCTGATTAACTTCTTCTCTAAGAGACACAACTTCCTCCTCTAATGTAGAGTAAGTATTGATTGATTGGAAAGTAGAGTAAGCGATAGTTGGTTGAGATAATTCTGGTACTGAAGATATGTCATTGGTTTGGTTAATTTGTTGAGACATTGGTAAGTCGAGTTTAGTGGTCAATGAAGGATTAAGCCAATCAGGATTAATCGCATCAGGTTAAAAGGCCAGATTCCTGTGGCTTTAAATGAATTGGCAATTGCCGTAGTAGTATATGTTGCAACAAGCATATGTAGAATCTGTGCTCGGTTTTTGATCACGTGATGACGATCATTTGTACTAAGTAAAAATAAAAATTATTA